CTACTTCCCAGACTTTGGACCAATGGGTGACATTTTCTAGGGGGTTTGGGTAAATGTGAAGAAGGCATTGATCAAGTCCACCAAGGTTTACAAGGAGCAAGTAGACAAACGACGTTCCCTTCAGAAACCTTCTTATGTGAGACAATTAGTTTATCTTTCAACGAAATAGCTATGGTTAAGTCCAGTTGCCTTTTGAAAAAGCATCTTTGTGACAGCCATGATGTGGATGACTAAGAATCTCCATAGATAAAAACTATCATTTGAATTTCTTTTTGTTCTTGCTAACTACAATTACACATGAATAGGGTTTAAGAAAACAACCCAATTCAAAAATGATCATTTAAAGTTCAATCTTTTGATTAATTGCAACTACACATAATCAGAACTTAAGAAAAATAGGGAGTGAAGTTTTTGTGCTGCTCCACGCATCTAAGCTGGAGGACAAGCAGAATATATCAACCTAAGGTTTGTTCTTGTAATACTAAATTGTAACCAAAACATGCTATCACAATCTTTCTCTCTATTTAAATTCAAATGTTTTGGTAAACCATAATTATTTGACTGTAATCTATTGGACAAGCCACATTTCAATACAAAATATTTGTAAACACTGAAATCTCACAGTGTGGGTTATATATAACCAGAGAGTCAATCTCTCTAGTTAAGTATTTTTAGCAGGAATTTCAGCATAAAGCATACATAAGCAAATTTTTAAAAATCAAATTATTTAGCTTTTTCTTTGAAAATTAGCTATATGAACAGTTACGGCTCCTCCTCTATGGCTCCTCCTAGAGTTGTAGCAATTTCTTTCCAGCTCTCACCCTTTTGAAATAAATTTATTCTGATTTTTTAAAAAAACAGAGCACTATCATGCTTGCAAGTGCTGACTTTTCCATTACTTGTCCTAGATTTCTAAATAATCCAGTCCCCAGAACTGGCATCATGGAAAAGTAAATTATTTTTCCACAGGAAAAGCTACACTTCACAGAGCATAGGCAATCTTGGATCTCCTGTACAATCTCGGAATGACACCTTCAGATTGGAACATATATTTTTCCTACTGTTACCACAAGTATAAGGAAAGATTTTCAACAACAATGGCTACAAAAGGATCCAGCTTCAACCCACTTGCCTTGTTTTATGAAAGCCATCAGAACTTTGGAAGTTCACTCCTGTCCTAAATAGGTTTTCTTAAACATATACCCCATTGAGATGTCACAAATGTTGAATAGAAATACCCACTTATAAGCATTTTGTTCAAATTCTTTTGGTTAATTCTAAACCATCTTCTTTTCTATAGAACATTTCCATAATGTTCTAATCATTTTGTAAAGAAAAATTACAAAAATATCCTGCACTTTCTGGGTTTTCTCGTCCAAAAGAAATGGAAAACCTCAGGAAGTAGGCATAAACTATGGTATTTTATATTTTATTCTCCCTAAAAATTAGAAGTATTATAGATTAGCAAAAATATCCCACCATACATTCCAATAATACTATCACTACTCCACTGCTCCCAAAGTTCAAACACCTGAAACAGAACCAGTGTACAATTTGGAGGATCCTTCTGGAGTCAGCTCCTATTCAAAGAAAAGATGGAAAGGAGGATGTTTTCACAGCTTTGTGTTGTGCACCAATCTCATCCTGGACCAATAGGCTTGGCTCATAGAGACCACACAAATGGACTAATGCAATGCATTTTACGTGGGGCTATCTTTGAACAATAAGCTACAACTGGTTCAAAATATGGCAACACAAATAATTATCAGCACTGCTTAATCTGCACATGCTATACTTTTGCTCATGAATTGCATTGGTTGCCAGTATGCTTCCAGGTTCAATTCACAGTGCTGATTATTACCTACCAGTGCCAATGGACAAGGGTATTTGCAGGACTGCCTCTTCAGTTTACTCGTCCAATAGGATGGGAAGAATGATGCTGGAGGAATTCTTAAATTTTGTTGCAGTGTCAGCAATATTTCATTTATTCATCTCTGGGCTTAGTGTATGTTTTTATCTTTTATGGCAGATTACTTCAGTCTTCAGAATAAAAGGTTAAGTCTTTTTTGCTTCATAGTTTAAACTAAGATTCTCTGGCATTCTTATTCATCTATATTTCAAATAGGAAACTTTTTGGTGATCAAGAACTACATTTAATGTTTTTGGGAGAGATTGAAAGTTAAAAAGTGAATGGAGCTTCACCATCCTTATATGGAGGACATTTTCATTAGAGTGTGGGATTCTTATTTAAATGCTTACATTAGGGCTTACATTGAAGATTTCATGATTTTTTCCTTTTTTTTACCCTTTTCAAAAGAGTAAGAAATCCTGCAGTCAGTTTTCATCAGTCCTGATTAGGAGAACTTCAATGGCTGCCTTAAATGGGGCACTAATCAGTATTGAACCATGTTTACTATCAAAGAGACTGAAAGAGTGTTAACATCAAACTTGTATTCACTATTTATTCCCCTTCATTATAGCTGAATAATTGAAATGATAAATAAAATCATTTCTCAGGCCATTAACATTACACAGGAGGAAAAATAGGCCTACTTATTTTCCTTCCAGAGATCTTTGTTGTCCATCCACATGTTGGAGGTAATCTGCAGAAGACCAGAAAAAGTAGTAAAGACTTTGCCTCTGCCTCCTTGGGCACCCTGGAGCACTCTTCTGCCATGAAGAAAGGCAATGTGTTTTCAGAAAGTTTCCATGCTTCACACCTAGTCTGTCAGTATGGTAGATATGAAACCATCCGGCAGAACTGTAGCTAACAGGAGGCATTATTCATCACCTGTTGCAATATATATAAAATGCCTGAAGAAAAGGTTTGATTCTACCTCCTTAGAAGAGTCAGCTAACTGGAAATGGTGCAATAATATTTTATTTTACTATTGATAGTATCACAATCTAAATTTGGGGTCTCTATATGGCAAACATTTGTTAAGAACTTCCTCAAATGTTTCAAAAAACCAGTATACGATTTAAGGGAAATTGAAGACTTTCAACAATATTCTCAGAATCATACATAGAAATTAAATATAAAACTCTTTAATATGGTACTGTATATCTCTAAGCATGGGTATAGATATTCTAGGTGACAAAGTTCAGATTTTGTTACATGACGTGCTAAACATAGTTCCGTAGTTTAAGAAACCATCCTGAGCTATAATAATAAAAAAGAACTTTTAAAATAATTAGGCACAAAATTATTTTTTTCTATAACACCATCAGGTATCCTTTATCTAAAATGAACAAGAGAAAAAAATTTAACCACTTAAAAATTTAACACAAAGCTAAATTAAGCATATTTTACTTATGTCTGGGAAAAGTGAGGGGAAGAAATAAATAGAGCTTCATATAAAAGAGCTTAAGACTGACTTCTTTTCATTTTAATATTACAAAATATTTTTTCTTTATTCATGGGAAATGTTTAAGTAGAATTTTACATATACAGGTAGTCCTCAACTTAAAACAGTTCATTTAGTGATTGTTCAAAATTACAACGGCACTGAAAAAAAGTGACTTATGACTGTTTCTCATACTTATGACAATTGCAGCATCCCCATAGTCAGGTAATCAAAATTTGGATGCTTGGCAATTGGTTCATATTTCTGATGGTTGCAGTATCTTGGAGTCATGTGATCACATTTTGCGACCTGCTGACAAGCAACGCCAATGGGGAAGCCAGATTCACTTAGCAACCGTATTACTAACTTAACAACTGCAATGATTCACTTAACAACTATAGCAAGAAAAGTTGTAAATGGGGCAAAATTCTCTTAACAACATCAGGTTCAATTGTGGTTGTAAGTCGCGGGCTACATGTAAATCATGTAATTTATGAATATATGAATTTGGGAGATTATTTCCAAAATCATTTGAAAACGAACATTGTTATGTAATGGATGTAAATATAAACTCGTATTTGAGTCTAGAAGTAAAGATTTCTGGAAGTTAACTTTCATTTCTGATGACTTTGTAGATCTGTCCATGCAGTTTTCCTGACAACACAGAATTACTTTGACACTTCCTTCTTCTGGGGCTTTTATTTTCCTCTTCCAGATTGGAATATCAACTTGGATGGTCAACTCCCATCCAAGGATTAATGAGTCCAACTCCATCTTGGCTGGGTTAGGGGAATTCAGGCAAGGCAAACTAGGTGCTAACTCCTTACTGAAACACATCTGATAGATATGCTAATCAGCCTATCTAATCCTTTACCTTGATACTGGAGTAGATCACTATTTCTCTTCAGATATCTGCTTACTGGGATTGCAAAACTACCTTAGAATCCGCCAAGACAGAGTTGGACTCATTGACCCTTGGTTGGGATCTAATCTAAATTCTAACTAAATCTGTCCCTAGTTCCATGATCAGGCATTATTCTAAGTAAGTGTGTTTCTGGATGTTGATTTTTTATATGAGTCTTAGGTGTCCATAACTGTATTCTTTTGTTGTTGCAACTGTTATAATATTTCCCTGCTGTTATTTTATTTTTATGAATATAAAGAATATGGAAAGAATCAAGGGCCCCAGCTACTAGTGAATAAAAGATCAGTTATATACCTGTCTACTAGGTGGACTCACTGATATTCCTTTAAGAATAATTTCAGAAAATTTCTCCATCCTACAAATTCTGATTACCACGAATTGGAAATCATAAAATTCCATATCTTCAAACACATATTCTAATTAAAGTGAGATTTAAAATCTGTGATAAATTTGGCTGTATTTTCCTCAATACGTGAACCATGAAGCGCATAACCTGAACCATGATCTTGAACAAAATCCAATACCGATTGACTTATTTCACAGAATTGATGAAAATATATATAAACAAGTATTAGACCTTTAAATATATTATAAAATATAGACAAATAGACTGGTTATGCCTGCATCCACTTCCCTTTCCATCTGCTATGTTATCTAGCTTATCCACATCCCTTAACCATACATTTAAAGGGACAATGATTAGAAGAGAGGAGAAAGAAAAACCTTACCTGTGCCAGAAGCCAAAATTAAATGAAGCAACAGGAGACCAAGAGAAACCTTGAATTTTAGTAAGCATTCCCATACTTTCTCCATGAATATATGGCTCACTTTACAGGCTGCCATCCTAAAAGGTACAAGATAAACAATTAGCTACATGTATAAATGAGGAGTTATACAAGCAATCCTCAATTTACAACCCTTTGTTTAATAATGATTCAAAGTTACAATGACACTGAAAAAAGTGACTTATGACCATTTTTTACACTTAAGACCATTGCAGCATCCTCAAGGTCACATGATCAAAATTTGGATGCTTGGCAACTAGCATGTATTTATGATGGTTTCAGTCTCAGGGTCATGTGAACTCCTTTTGCGACTTTCTGACAAAAAAAGTCAATGGAGAAACCGGATTCACTTAATAGCTTGCTACTAACTTAACAACTGCAGTGATTCACTTAGCAACTGTGGCAAGAAAAGTCATAAAATGGGGCAAAACTCACTTAACGTCTCACTTAACAATGGAAATTTTGGGCTCAATTATCATAAGTTGAGGACTACTTGTACCAATGTTTTTAGATTATGTTTGATATCTGTAATAGTGATTATGGCTCTCTGGAAAACTGCCTATATTTTATTATCCTGCTCCCTATTATGAACTGCTAGAATAACATTACCAAACCTTTGTTCAATCATACTGTATAGTAATAATAATAATAATAATAATAATAGAATAGAATCGCTGCGCAACACTGTCCGCATACATAGCCAAGATATTGTTATGGAGTTTGGCTTGGACAAATGTGCCACACTTACTATCAAACAAGGAAAAGTAGTGAAAACTGAAGGAATCAAGATGCCCCACGAAAATAACATTAAGAGTCTGGATGAGGAAGAGTACTACAAATACTTGGGTATCCTTCAAGCTGACAACATCAAGCACAATGAAGTCAAGAAAAAGATTAGAGGTGAATACATCAAGAGAGTGAAGAAGATCTTAAAGTCCAAACTCAATGGAGGAAATACCATAAAGGCAATCAACACCTGGGCAATTCCAGTTATTAGGTACACAGCTGGAATAGTGGACTGGACTCAAGCAGAACTAAAAGCAATGGATAGGAAGACAGAAAAATAATGACAATGAATCATGCCCTTCATCCACGCAGTGACATTGACAGACTTTATCTACCAAGGCAAATAGGTGGGCGTGGAATGCTACAAGTACATCAGATGGTTGAAGAAGAAAAAATGGCTTTGGAAGAATATCTGAAGAACAATGATGAAAATGCACTGAAATTAGTATATCAGGAAGGCTTACTGACTACTGGAGAGACCAAACTGGCCTACAAGAAAGACCAAATGAAGAACAGAATAGAGGCATGGGAAGACAACGCACTACATGGCCAATACATGAAAAAAATAGCTGGGAAAGCAGATAATAATAAAACCTGGCAATGGCTAAGAGCAGGAAAATTGAAGAAAGAGATCGAGGGACTAATTCTGGCTGCACAAGACCAAGCCTTAAGGACAAATGCATATAAAGTCAAAATTGAGAAGACAGCAACAGACATTAAGTGCCGCCTATGCAAAGAAGCTGAAGAAACAGTGGACCACCTGGTAAGCTGTTGCAAGAAGATTGCACAGACTGACTACAAGCAGCGGGCATGACAAAGTAGCAACAATGGTGCATTGGAAGATCTGCAAAAAATATCATTTGCCTGTAAGCAAAAACTGGTGGGATCATAAAATAGAGAAAGTCATAGAAATGATAAAATTAAACTGCTCTGGGACTTCAGAATTCAAACAGACAAGCACCTGCAACATAACACCCCAGACTTAACAATTGTCGATAAGAAAGACAAAAAAGTCTGGATAGTGGATGTGGCAGTGCCTGGAGATAGCAGAATAGAAGAGAAAGAACTGGAGAAGATAACAAAATACAAAGACCTACAAATAGAAATAGAAAGACTGTGGCAAAAGCACGCAAGGGTAGTACCAATAGTCATAGGCTCCTTGGGTGCAATCCCAAAACAACTGGAGCACCACTTGAACACCATTGGCATTGACAAATTTGCCATTAGTCAATTGCAAAAGGCAGCCTTACTAGGAACTGCTTCCATCCTGCGACGATACCTGTAATACCATCAAACATCCACATCTGCTTATCCCAGGTCCTGGGTAAGGATTCGATAGGTAGACAAAATGCCAAATCCAGTCTGAACATCTGGCTGACTGTGCGATGATCCATAATAGAAGCTGAAGAAACAGTGGACCACCTGGTAAGCTGTTGCAAGAAGATTGCACAGACTGACTACAAGCAGCGGCATGACAAAGTAGCAACAATGGTGCATTGGAAGATCTGCAAAAAATATCATTTGCCTGTAAGCAAAAACTGGTGGGATCATAAAATAGAGAAAGTCATAGAAAATGATAAAATAAAACTGCTCTGGGACTTCAGAATTCAAACAGACAAGCACCTGCAACATAACACCCCAGACTTAACAATTATCGATAAGAAAGACAAAAAAAGTCTGGATAGTGGACATGGCAGTGCCTGGAGACAGCAGAATAGACGAGAAAGAACTGGAGAAGATAACAAAATACAAAGACCTACAAATAGAAACAGAAAGACTGTGGCAAAAGCAAGCAAGGGTAGTACCAATAGTCATAGGCGCCTTGGGTGCAATCCCAAAACAACTGGAGCACCACTTGAACACCATTGGCATTGACAAATTCGCTATTAGTCAATTGCAAAAGGCGGCCTTACTAGGAACTGCTTCCATCCTGCGACGATATCTGTAATACCATCAAACATCCATATCTGCCTATCCCAGGTCCTGGGTAAGGACTCGATGGGTAGACAAAATGCCAAATCCAATCTGAACGTCTGGCTGACTGTGCGATGATCCATAATAATGATAATAGTTAGAAGGGATCTTGGAGGTCTTCTAGTCCAACCCCCTGCTCAGGCAGGAAACCTTATATGATTTCAGACAAATGGTTGTCCAGTTTATTCTTAAAAACTTCCAGTGTTGGATCATTCACAACTTCTGGAGGCAGGTTGTTCCACTTATTAATTGTTCTAATTGTCAGGAAATTTCTTCTTAGTTCTAGGTTGCTTCTCTCTTTAGTTAGTTTCCATCCATTGCTTCTTGTCCTGGCTTCATGTGCTTTGGAAAATAGCTTGACTCCCTCTTCTTTGTGGCAGCCCCTAAGATACTGGAACACTGTTATCATGACACCCCTCGTTCCTTCTCTTCATTAGACTAGACATACCCAATTCCAGCAACTGTTCCTTATATGTTTTAGCCTCCAGTCCTCTGATCATCTTTGTTGCTCTTCTCTGTATTCTTTCTAGAGTCTCAACATCTTTTTTAAATCGTGGTTATCAAAACTGGATGGAGTATTCCAAGTGCGGCCTTTTAATTTATGCAAAGCAGCAGTAAATTCAACAAATTGGTTGATTCAATATCTGATACAAATTGATTACATCAAACCCATCCGCAGCAGTCATCAGGACATTTATATACTGCTCCTTGTAGGGTCTCTGTAACATTGGCCTCCCCCCTCCCCCCCCGCAAGGACCTGAACTGCAAAGAAGGCAAAAAATAAAAATGTTTATTAGTTTATCAAAAGATAAAATACAGAAATACCAAAAAAAATGAAGATAATGGGGAAAAAAGGGAGGAAAAGGGAAAGAAAGAAAGAAAGAAAGAAAGAAAGAAAGAAAGAAAGAAAGAAAGAAAGAAAGAAAGAAAGAAAGAAAAGGGTAGGGGAAAGGGGAAAAGAATAAGAAAAGCATTGACTTCCAACTTCCAAAAGAAAGGTTTAAACTAGGCAAAAGAGATAAAAAGTGCTATGGATTTTGTGAAAAATGAATTGGAAATCTTACTGTGTGTAATGATAAACATATTATTGCTAAGGTTTATAAATTGTTATTGAAGTTGAATTTGGAGAATGAGCATGTAAAGCATTGTATGATTCAGTGGGTAAAGAACTTGGATATAATGCTTGAACAATGGGAGAATATGTGGATGAAAGGTTTAAAATTCACATTAAATTATAATTTAAAAGAAAATTTTTATAAGATGATGTACTATACCATTGTTATCTAACACCAGACAAATTGTTAAGAATATATAAAGGCATTTCAAATGAATATTGGAAATGTAAAGGTATAGAAGGAACTTTTTATCATTTATGGAGGACATGCGACAAAGCAAAAAATTATTGGAGTAGGATTCACATTTTAATACAGAAGATTTTTAAGGTGAATATAAGGATAAAACCAGAGGCTTTTCTTTTAGGTTTAATGGATATGGATTTTTTTTTTTAAAAAAAATGGAACTTTGATATTATATATGTTGATGGCAACAAGAATACTTTATGCACAAAAATGAAAGGATACTTCGATTCCCACCATTGACGAATGACTGCAAAAGTTGATAGAGTTCGCAGAGATGGCTAAATTGACTGCTTTGATTAAAGAAAGGAACACAATTAATTTTGTTTCTTCTTGGAAACTGCTTTTGGGCTTTGGGCTTGAGAGAGAGAGAAAATGAAACTTTGAGTTTGGGTTTTGCTGATTAGATAGGTTTGTTGTTATAGAAGTGGCTAGTATACATTATCATATAATAGTAAAAAGTTGAGGTTTTATGTTACTACCTTATTCTATTGCACTGCAAAGAAGGCAATGGGAGGAAATGCAGTAAGTCATTTTTTAATTCTTCAGTAAGCTTGATATCTACATATAGAAATGAATACCCAAAGATAATGTCAAACAGCCAAAGGTTTATTATGATCCTGCAATCAGCCAATTAGAATGTCTGTTGTACAGTAGACCAATTCTTCTCCTAATCCATCTATCTTACTTTAAAGCTCTTTTAACCACTCCTTTTCAGTTACCAATTACAATTTTGCTGAATCTCTTTGAAAAATTTTACCTGTTTGCCTGACTATAATCACCCAAAGCATTATTATTTATTTATTTATGCTGGAGATTTAGTCTACAATGAGAAGAGAATGAAATGGTTCAAGCTATTCTTAATTGCCAGCTGCAAGCCAGTTTAAACAATCTTAAATGTACTAAATTTGCATTCCCCAGATGCTGCAGAAATTGGCAAGGTG